AAAATACTTAGGTATAAATTTAACTCAACATCTATAAGGCTTCTATGCTGAAAACTACAAAACACTGCTGAAAGAAATCAAAGAAGTCTTAAATAAATGAGGAAATATACCATGATCATGGATCGGATGACCCAACGTAGTAAAGATGTTAATTCTCACACAAATTGATACACTGGTTAAATGCACTTCCTATAAAAACAACAGAATGGTAGTTTGTAGAGATAGATAAACCTATTCTAAAATTTATGTGGGAAGGCAAAGAAACTAAAGTAGCTAAAACAATTTTGAAAAAGAATAAAGTGGAAGGAACCATGCTATCCTACTTCAAGACTTATTATATAGCTACACTAGTCAAGATTGAGTGCTACTGGCAGAGGAACAGAAACAAAGATCAATAGACAATACAGAAATAGACCTACAGAAGTACAGCCAAATGATTTTTGACAATGGTGCAAAAGCAATTCAGTGGAGTGAGGATAGTTTTTTCTATAGTTGGTGATGCAGCAACGGATATCTATAAGGAAAAAAATTCTTGACCTAAACCTCACACCTTACATAAAAATCAATTCAAAATGTGTCATAAATGTAAATCTTAAAAAATAAAACTATAAAAATGGAAGAAAATATAAGAGGCAATCTTCAGGACTTGGAGAAGAGTTCTTAGACATGATACCAAAAGCATAATCCACAAAAGAAAAAAAAGTAAATTGGATTTCATCAAAATTAAAAATATTCAATCTGCAAAACCTCCTGCGAAAAGGATGAAAAGGCAATCCAGAGACTGGTAGAAAATATTTTTTAAACCACATATCTGATATATAGATATCTATATAACTGGAATCTATAAAGAACTCTCAAAATTCAACAGTAAAAAAAAACAATCTAATTAGAAAATGGGGGAAGTACATGAACAGACATTTCACCAAAAAGAATACACAGGTGGCAAATAAGCACATGAAAAGATGTTCAGCATCACTAGCAATTAAGGGAAAAGTAACTTAAAATCACAATGAGATAATACTACATACCTATGAGAATAGCTAAAATTTTTTAAAGTGAAAATATCAAATGCTGGGAAGGCATGCACAGGAACTGAATCTCGCATATGTTACTATAAAACAGAACAGCCACTTGGGGAAAGTAGTTTGGCAGTGTCTTTTAAAACTAAACATGCAATTAACAAATGATCTATCAATCACACTCCTGGGCATTTATCTCAGAGAAATGAAAATTTATGTCCCCACAAACACCTGTGTACAATTGTTCTTAACAGCTTTATTTATAATAGTCAAGAACAGGAAACAATTAAATATCCTAAAAATAGTGAATGGTTAAAAAAACAACAACAATACATTCATATAATGGAATACTACTCAGCAGTAAAAAGAAAGGAACTATTGAAACTCAAAACAACTTGGATGGATCTCAAAAGCACGGTGTTGAACAACAACAACAACAAAACCCTATCTCAAAAGGTCACGTATCATAGGAATCCCTTTATGTAACATTCTCAAAATGACAAAATTACAGAGATGGAGAAATGATTAGTGGTTGCCAAGGGTTAGGGTTGGTGGGGAGGAGGGGAATGAGTGCGACTAGAAAGGAGAACAAGAGGAAGATCTTTGTGGTGAAGCAACAATTCTGTATCTTGACTGTGATGGCGGTTATAGGAAACTACACATGTGGTAAAGTGGCATGGAACTATATACACTTTATATCAATGTTAATTTCCTAGATTTGATATTGTACTATCCTTATTATGTAAGATGTAACCAATGGGGGAAACTAGGTAAAAGGTATATGGGGCCTCCCTATACTATCTTGGCAACTTCTTATAATTCCTTTTAAATAAAATTTGAAGAAAAAAGTATTAACTTAAAGTCTTTATACCACTTACTTAAATGAGGCTTTTTATGTTTAAGTCTCATTTTCAAATAGCTCTATAAGTAGGCAATAATCTTTTCTGCTACTTAACTATAGTTTCAATGATTTATGTGCAAATGTTGAAAAACATGTTTATGGGGTGTCTGGGTGGCTTAGTTGTTAGGCATCTGCCTTTGGCTCAGGTCATGATCCTGGGGTCCTAGGATCATGCCCAGCATCAGGCTCCCCGCTTGGCGGGAAGCCTGCTTCTCCCTCTCCCACTCCCCCTGTTTGTGTTCCATCTCTCGCTGCGTCTCTGTCAAATAAATAAATAAAATCTTAAAAAAAAAACCAAAACGAAAAGCATGTTTTATAGCAAGCAGCTCCATAACTACATGACATTTCCAAACTGGAAGGTACTCTAATCTCAGAATTAATTAGAGTAAAAGCTATTTACCGATAACTTGTATTCAGTTTAAAAAACAACAAGTAGTGGTATAAATCTGGAAAATCATGCCACAATTATAGAAAAAAAATATTATCCATTATATAAAGACAAAAGTAACCTTGGAGTACTCACACAGACACTAGTTTGTCTTCCAGATCTTCCCAGCTCCTTCTACAGCTCCTTCCCAGCTCCTTCTACAGGTTATAACCTGACACCATGCCTGGCACACATGAGGAAGGTCTCAGTAAAAACTGCTAAACAAATGAATGAATGACCTAAAAGCTGCTTTATTTTTGCCCACTGGGAAAAGAAATGTGGGTTTGCAGATCTTGCCATATTCTGATCCATATTTTGAGCACTGTTCCACAATAAATTTTTACAAAAATAAATAAATAAAATTTATATAAATAGATTTTTTTAAAGTAGAAACTGAATTAGTAAGCAAATATACAGCACCCAAGTTACTATTAGGCTTTATGAAAATTATATCGTAATCTGCATCCCCCTTTCCCTAAATCCTCTTCTCAGCATCTATTTATAAACTGCTCATGTCATAGATTATCCCTCTTCTACCAGCAAAGACTTTGTACCTAGCTGGAAGCCACCCTTGTTCCCACTGTTTTTTCTCCTCCCCACTTACACTTAGCCCTCTCCCAAATCCCTACCACATATACTCCTCCTCCTCCTCCCTCCAAAAGAGAGTGAAAGAAAAACATTAAATGACCAGGTCATGAAAAGGCCTTGCAAAAGATTAACATAAGCAAACAAAAAAAGTTTTATTCAGCACTCAAATATTCAAACAAGTCTTGACCATAAGGCATATTACCCACTCCTCGAATATACAATGCAGAAAACAATACTGAGTTATGTCATCCTTACTGAATTCATCTTCAGCCACAAGACTTGAGAAATGGTTACCCAATTAAGATCACTCAGGCTCCTTTGTACCATGTTGGTTGGGGACAGTGTGGAGGGCGGGAGGTTAAGGTCAATTCTTTGATAGGAGCTAAGAAGAGTAGGGGACTGAACTTGATAGCAGCTAATATTAAATGCGAGGCATTATGCTAGGAACTTTTAAACTGATAATGTTATTTAATGCTAATAACTATCTATGAGGTAGATAATCTAATAATCATAATCTACACTGCACAGGTGGGAAAACTGTAGTTTCAAAGGCATAAGTGATAGAGCCAGGATTCAAAACCAAACTTCCCTTACTCAAAATATTCAAAAGCCTGTGTAAACTTTTCACTTTATTCTGCCTCTCTAAATCCAGTCTTTGGGATTACACCTACTTTCTGCTAGAGCATTACTTAGTACTCAACTAATCAGAGACCTGTTAATAGAAGGAACGGAGGCCTAGGGTTACACTTGTTACAACTGTTCCTTACTCATTGTGTTTCTTTGAGTAAGTCAGTTTTCCTCTCTGACCATATCACCTTTTGGATGCAGCTGGTTTCTGAAGCTCCTTCTAAGAATAAAATTTTCTGACTCCAGATGTCTTCTGTGTTGTCAACACATACAGATCTTTAATAACCATCATCTAAAATGTATTTTCCAGAGCAAACTCCATTATATCAACTTAATTAGATTTACCAATATTAAACCACTTTCAATTATTTTACATTCTAATTTTATTAAAATTACCTTTATCAGGATGAATTCCTTTGCAAACCTTAATTAAAATTATGTTTATCCATTGGTCTGAACCTTATTTTTTTGTTCTGACCCTGTAACAAATTTCACCAATTACTTTTGGCCACTGGGAATATTCTTTTGTGGCTCTGATTTCTAAAAACCTTTTTTTCCCCAGAGTGCTTTTTATCCTTCTGGCTCCTGAGGTCTAGATGTAAGTCTATAAGAGAAACAGATGTACATCACCTCCTACACCTGATAGTTCGGAAAAGCTGGTTCAATACACCCAGTATTTGGTAACCCAAATCGTATAATTTCGGCATGCTAAGGAAACTTTGCTATTAAAATTAAACAGTACTCTGACAGGGGCTTCGTGGATAATCAAGGGAACGATCGCCCCCTCTCTCATTTGGACACACCCCTTCTCATCCCATTGGGAGCAGCGCTCGACGTGCATCTGTCAGCTTAGGGTTCCTGAAGGCGCGCGCCTCGGTTCTCCCCGAGTCCGGAGAGCAGCCGGGGGAAGAGAGCGGGCAGACGACTCCTGGAAGCCCCACGAAGCCGGGTGGGGCTAAGCCCGGCCTGAGGGCGGGGCGGGCCCGGGGCCGCCTCCATCTCCAGGCCCGCCCTGCGCCACACCCGACGCCGCCCGCTTTCGGCTAACGGGCCGCGGCGCCCGCCTCCGCCCGCGAGCCCTCACCTCGCCCCGACGGCGGCCTGCGGGAGTCAGCGCCCGCCCGTCGCACCCCCTCGCCTCCTCGCCGCGGTACCACCCGCCGCCTCCTCTGCAACCTCTGCCCACCGGGCGGACCCGGCCCAGGTCACTGGCGGCCCAGGCGCAGGTAGGCGGTGGTACGCATGCGCAAGTCTTGAATTCTCCATTCGCTGCTGCTAAGCGACACCCTCACCCGAACAGACCAATCCCGGAGCGCTTTCCCTGTGGGTCCCGGAGGAATCTTGAATGAGCGGGTTCTTAAAGAGCTGCAACCCAAATGTAGAGGGGGTGTGGCAGGGGCGCGCGCGCCTCCCAACTTTCCCATCTCCTGGCTCTCACCCTCGTGGGTTTGATGTCCAAGCCTATAATTCCCACGTCCGGAGGTGCCAGGAGACTTCTCGGTCTAAGCACGATTCCTGCCGGGGTAGAGTCCACAACTGACTTGCCGAGGCAGGGAGGTTCCGCGTAATTGCGCGACACGCCCCAGCTGTGTGTTCCGCTGTCTGCGCCCCGGGGCGGGGAGCAAGATAGACAAGATAGGCAAACCAAAGAGCACCGCCTCTTGCCACACTGGATGAGGTGCTAAAGTCCGACCCCGGAGGGACACATCCCAGTCTGGGGATGGAGGCATTCATATCACACATGGATGGTCCAATTCAGAGGAGCAGAATTCGTCCATTTACTTTTCGTCCAACAAATTTTGAGCACCTGCTTTGCGCCAGACACTCTACCAGGCATTGGGGACACAACAAGGAACTCCTGACACTAAAAACTATGTTAAGAGAGGGCAGAGTGAGAGCACCCATCAAACAAACAATTACACTTATGTTCAAATATAAACTGAGGTATGTGTTCTTCAGAGAAGTTACAGGAGGTTCTGGTCTGAACTTCGGAGTAAGAGGAGGCTTCCTTGAGAATGTGACACCTGCTGACTAGTAGCTAACTAAGCAAAGGGGGAAAGAAGAGTGTTTCAGACAGAGGGTAGAGTATGTATAAAGAACAGGGAGGCTCTTTGGAGGGATGAAAAGAAACAGGGTAGTACATGAGAAACTAGTGTTTAACAAGCACAGAATTTCAGCTGGGGAAGATGAAAAAGTTCTGAAAAATGGATGGTAGGGATGGCTGCACAACAACATAAAATTTTAAATGTCACAGAAATGTATATTTAAAAATGGTTAAAGTGGGGGCGCATGGGTGGCTTGGTTAGGTATCTGCTTTCAGCTCAGGTCATGATCCCAGGGTCCTGGAAGTGAGCCCAATGTCAGGCTCCTTACCCAGCAGAGAGTCTGCTTTTTCTTCTGCCCCTCCCTCCCATTTGTGCTCTCTCTTGCTCACTCTTTCTCAAATAAGTAAAATCTTTTAAAAAATAAATAAAAGTTAAAATGGTTAAACTGGTAAATTTTATGTTATGTATATTTTGCCACACACACACACCAAAAAAAAAAAGACATGGAAGGAAAAAATTAAAGTTTAGAGAGTAAGGAATAGGGTGAGAACCACTAGAGAGAAGAGCTAAGTCTGTAGGATCTTATAGGCCCTGGCAGAAAGTTTAGGACAGTGGGAAACTGATCAAACTTGCGTTTGTAAGATCACTTTGGCTGCTGTAGTTAAGACCAAAATGAAGAAGGCTCATGGAACCTCTGACAGGTCCAGCTGGGAAGCCAGTGCAGCCATCTGGGCATGAGAGGATGATGCTAGAGCTTGGGCTTGGACTGGAGCCACAATGTGCAGGAAGAGAAGTAGCCAGTCTACAGACACTCATAGCAGCAAAATCAACAAGACATGGTGGTGATTTGGATGTGGAAGAGCGACAAAGTATCTTCAAGGGTAATGCCACTCTTCAGCCTTGGGTGAATGGGTAGATAGTGGAAGGATTCATAGGACATAAAGAACACTGGAGGAGGACCTGATTTTGGAAAGAAGAATGACCACTAGTTCCATCTTAGACAAACTGAATTTGAGGCACCTTTGAGATTTCTAGTTGGGATGTCAATGTAGGCAGTTGAATATATAATGTATACGTGAATATACATTCCATGTACCAGTCTGGGCTAGACATAGACTTTTGAAAGTCACCACCACATGGGTGGAAATTGAAGCAGGGCAATTACATAGACAGAGAAAAATTACAAAATGAAAACAGAAGAGAGTTATGACAGAGTCCAAGACAAACTCCAGGGATCCCTGCCACCTGGTATTCACATTCTTGTGTAGTCCCCTCCCACACTGAGTCAGTGTTGGCCTGTGTGACGAATGATCATGAGTGTAAATCATAAAAGGCACAAAGGATAAAGTCAATGGGATTTTTTGGGACGGACAAAGGAGACTGAAAAGGAGATTGAAAACCCCTTCACTGTATGGGCCTGGGAATAAGCTAGGATTCCCTCTCAAAGTGCATTCACAAGTGAATGAAGACAGGTTCTTCTCACCACAAGTCATGAAAACAAGGCTCTGGCTTGGATGGGGGAGGAAAAATTGGCACCAGACCCACAAAAACCCAGAGGTTCTGAAGCTCAGGCTATCAGAACCTGCAATGTGAGTGCTTTATAATAGGCTTTGTGCCTTCTGACTGATGCAGCTAGTGTGGCCCAGGCATCTCAGTGGACTGGGCTACAGAGGTGAAGTGGCATCTGAAGTACTAGCCCTCCTCTCCAATCACTGGCCATTCTGACTCCAGAGGGTTTCTCTTCTGGGCTTCTTCATCCCTCCACTTCCAGGATCACACCCTGGACTGCTGTTATCACCGCAGAAGAGCTCCATGTCCAAAGTTATAAATGCAGACACCTGATCTCTGACTGTCCCTAGGCTGTTCCCAGAAGTCTGCCCACTGTTCTCCGGCCTGCAGAAGCCTCCAGTCCACTTGGCCTTCTACTTTGTTCTGTGTATCACCTCTCTCCAAAGTTTATTTCCAATCACCTCTCTCCGCTCTTTCCCATCAGCTGAAAGTCCAAGGTCTATTACTTCCATCACCTTCTTCCCAATATGCTCCATTGTGCAGTAAGTCTTCTGTCACACCTGCCTGGCAGCACTCCAATTCTGGGAGAAAAGAAAAAAAAAAAAAATCCAACCTTTGGCTCCTCTATATCTGTTCCTGAGCTATAAGTGCTGCTGGAAAAAAATCTCAAAGCCACACAGATTAGTGCTTTGTACGTACATTGCCCACCTCCACCAAGTCCTTAACATGGTCCAGCATCCTATGTCTGCCTATCTCCAATTTTTCCCACAACCAACCTCGAAATCTCCCACATGCTCCCCAGATCTTTCACTCTTCACCATCCCCTCCCTCTTCCAGATGCCTCCTTCACTAAGGAAAGAGCAACCATTAAAGTGAGAGTCCTCAGCTCCCACTAACTTCTGTCCCTCCCTCCAACTACCACCTTCATTCCCTTTTCCCTTTTACATCCAAACTTCCTGGGGAAAGGGCCTACTCTAAAGGTCCCATTTGCTTCACCTTTCCTGAATTTCACTGTCCCTGGCAATTCTCACTGCTGCCTCGACACATCACTGAAATTTCCTTCATTAAGGACGTCAAAGTTCTAGTCTCTACCTTGATTGACCTTTCAACAGCCTTTGTAATTGCTTCTGACTTGCTTTCTCAGTCACTCTGATTTCTTATATGGCTGCCCCGCCTCTACTGGATTTGGACGGGCCACGATTCCTGCGTGACCCTGGGCAAGGTACTCCGGCAGATATACGGGACACGGTGCCTAAGAGGCGAGTCGCCTCTGCCAGACCCCGCCCCCGAGGCTAGCCCTCCGGACTGCGCAAATGCAAAGGAGGGGCAAACAGCTCCCAGTCCCGGGGACGGGGGCGGGGCCGAGACTGCCGCTCTAAGCATTGCTCTTGCGCGCCCAATCACAAATGACGTTCCGCCTGTTCCCAGTCAACGGGAGGACCCAATCAACGCCGAGAGCGTGGGCCCCACCTATCGTAGGTCCCTGCTCTGGCTGTAGTGCGTTTAGCTGGTTGGCTCCCATCTGGATGCGCCGGAGTCCGCAGGGCCTGAGGCCCAGGTCCAACCTGGCTTCCCGGGATGTCGGTGGCCTTCGTACCGGACTGGCTGAAAGGCAAGGCGGAAGTCAATCAGGAGACGATCCAGCGGGTGAGCGCTAACTCGGGCAGAGAGATGTTCCTTAGTTGAGATCCCAAGGGCTGCGGTGGGTGCGGGAAGCTTCCTGGAGTGGACCGAATCCCAGCTGAGGCTTGTGGTGTGCGTAGGGGGATGATTTTGCAGGGGTTTGGAGTGAGATGGGAACGAAGTTGGCAAAGGCACAGGGGCAGGACAGCCCGGCATTGGAGAGAGTTGGGGGAGGGCAGTGTTCTCGGCCGTCCTGATTACGCGCTGCACTGACCCCTTCTCTGGTCTTTCAGCTCTTGGAGGAGAATGACCAGCTCATCCGCTGTATAGTGGAGTATCAAAACAAAGGCCGGGCGAATGAGTGCGTCCAGTAAGTACCGGCTCCAACCCCCGACTTTTGAGTGTAGGGTGAAACCAGTGTGGTGATACAGCAGCTGCCCTGAACTAGGAGTCTTGCGTGATTGATCGCCGAGGAGGCTCAGAGAGGTTACTTACCTGCCCAAGACTACACAGACAGCACATTGTGAAGCCCGGAGTTAGACGTCGCACCCTCTTCAAAATTTGACTTATGCTCATTACAAACCTCCTTCACGTAAACGGGTCAGTTGATGACAACAGGGATGGGGAAGGGAACACATGGGAAACTAGTCTCAGGAGATGCGAGCTCTGACCCGTTTCTCCTCCTGGATCCCCAGCTTATCCTTTTCCTGAGAGGGTCAGACCATTTGACCCTTTTTTTTTTTTTTTTTAAAGTAGGCTCCACGCCCAGTGTGGAGCCCAACACCGGTCTTGCACTCACCACTCTGAGATCTAGATCTGAGCTGAGATGAAGAGTCAGATGCTTAACCGACAGAGCTACCCAGGTGCCCCACCCCCTTCATTTTCTAACTTGCAGTTGGTCTGTAATGCACACAGGGACCAATAAAAGACTTCCACATTAGGCCAAAGTCAAATTCTGCATAGTAATTGAATGTGCTATCTAGCTATATACCAAAATCAGAGAAAATAGTCTCTCGTAGGAATTATGCTCCATTTATTATAGAAAAGTACATTATTTCATTCTTACCGAAGACATCTTTAAGAAAACCATGCTTTTTTCCATCCCCTAAAAAAAAAAAAAAAAAAATCACCTATAGTTCCTCACCGAACAGCTCAATGGAATAGTAGAGATAGCCATCTTTGCATAAGTCTTTACATTCGGTTCTGGCATCTGGTAGTTTACTTTTTTGCAGTTTATAGTAAACTCTCATTTTTCTATATGGAAAATAGTTGCAAAATATTCCTTTTGGTGTAGTGATTCTCAAGCTGTGGGTAAGAAAGTTACCAAATTTCCTGGTGGGCTTTTTCACATTGCATGGGCCATGCTTCCTGCCCAAGTTCCCAGTCTGATTTGTCTTCCTGGGTAGAAAATTGTACCCCCTGATTGAGAATCACTACTTGTCGCGGCCGGCGCGACAAATCAACCAGGAACGTGAGGGTAAGAGGATGGTGAAAAGAAATTAAGAGACAAAGAGATGGAGGCAGGAGGAACACTGAGGAGGATGTCCAACAGTGCTAAGTTTATTCAAAGCATTAAGGCCATATATATAGTGATATTACATCTGTGTCTAGTTAAACAACCACGAGTTCCTCGTGACACCAAATGGCTGATGCCAGTACAAATACAGCAAACCTGAAAGTCATTTATGGGCTGTACTAGGGCAGCAAGGACCAGCAACGAACTTTTGACCCCAACCAAATTGTTCTCATTTGTTTAGCAAGCATGTGGAAGTCACGTAGGCGAGCGCACAACACATAGCACAGACCCTTTCTCAGTGTTACTCAACTTTTCCCGTCCTAAACCTTTTGCTAGGTTATTCGGACTTTAAAGGAGGCAAAGTCAGGACCTGGTTTGGTCCTCGTCTCAAGCCTTATTGCGGCCTCCCACAACTACTATAGTAAGCTCAGATGATACCATAAGAGTGCCTTGTTCCTTCTTTAATTTTGTTCCACAAATACTTTATAACTACTACTGAATACCAGACACTGTATCAGCTACTGGGGAATCAGTATCAAAACCAGCTCTGCTTTTTATCCAATCAGGTGCCTGCTCTGCTTTTATGGACTTTATATTCTAGAGCTTAGAATCTAGAAGGAGGAAGTCATACAATTAGGCACATACTAATAAGTGCTTTAAGTAAGAATAAAGGAGGCTAATTGGCAGGGAGGAGTGCTGAGCTAGCTAGATATATAAAGCAGAGACAGCATTAGGTGGAAAAGCCCCCTTGACTGGAGCACACTAGTTGGCTTCAGGTCACAGCCAAGAGGACACTGCAGCCAGACCTCAGCCAGACCTCAGTGGGCGAAGGGAAAGTGGTAGGAGCTGAGGTCAGAGAGATGACCAGAGGCTCCAATCGTGTAGAGCTTTGTAGGCCACCAGAAGGGCTAGAAGGGCTCAGCTTTACTCAGAGTGAAATAGGAGCCTTTGGAGGGTTTAATTGGGTGTATGGCAAGTCTTGACTTAAACTGCCCAATAATCACTTAGGTTGCTATGTGGGGGGAAGAGTAGGAGTGCAGAGGCAAAGCAGGGAGACCAGCTAGGAGACTGGTCCAATACAGCAAGGATAGTGGCTTGACCCAGAGAGGTAGCTATGAAAGTGATATGTGAGAACAGATAGATTCTAGATGTATTTTTGTTGGTGTTAAACAAGGAGGTTGACGATAATGAATCATCCAATCAAGAGATGAGCCATTCCATTTGAGTGGGTAAATTCCTTTCCAATCTTTTTGTTCATGTTCAGCAAAACAAATCTCCTAATTTTCGCCTCTTTTCACCCATAGGTACCAGCATGTGTTACACAGAAATCTCATTTATTTGGCTACCATTGCAGATGCCAACCCGACCAGTGCTTCAAAAGCAATGGAATAATCTTTCAATTGGCTGTCCTGAGGACTTTACTGAGTATAATCCATGTTCTATGAAGTAAAGACAGGATCTTTACCAACTGAACTGCTTAAAACTTGAATGAACCCTCCGTGGCTCTTTTAAAAATGTGAAAATGTGAAGAAAGCTACTAAATGAACTGTATTCTCAGTGTAAATATTTTAATAATTAAGCTCCAGATGTCCTCTTTCCTGAAATAGGTGTATTTGGATAACAGAGATATCATGGGCATCTTCAATTCTACTTTTCAGTTTCAGCCTGAAGAGGAAACTGATTAGGTGGTAGGGAATCAAGAGGAACTGGTGAGACTCCTGACTGATGCCCTGCCTAATGGATGTGTAATTGTGTGCTCCCCCTCCTCCAGTTTGTAGCTATAGACCTGGCCATTTCCAGGTTGCTTTGAAATAAAGCCTGTCTTTCCACAAAATATTCATTTCAAGTACAGAGATTTGCGTATGATAAGTGTTCCATTTGGTCTTCTGGAAAAACTGTGGAGACTTAAAAAATATATATGTAATAACACCATTATCATTGCTAACAAAATCAATAGTAATTCTTAATTATTACTTAATATCATCTAATAATATCTTTTAAAATACTTTTTAAAAATATCTTCTTCCTCTTATCTTTTTAAAGTTCTTAGCTGGGGGGGCGCCTGGGTGGCTCAGTGGGTTAAGCCTCTGCCTTCGGCTCAGGTCATGATCTCAGGGTCCTGGGATCAAGCCCCGCATCAGGCTCTCTGCTCAGCAGTGAGTCGGCTTCCCCCTCTCTCTGCTTGCCTCTCTGCCTACTTGTGATCTCTCTCTCTCTCTCTCTGTCAAATAAATAAATAAAATCTTAAAAAAAAAAAAAAAAGTTCTTGGCTGGGCCTCTATACCAAAAAACAGATTAACAAAAGCACATAAATTTAAGTTTTATGTGACATAGGAGCCCTTTATAAAGAAATGAAGACCCAAAGAAACAGTTAAACTTGATTATTTTTATATGAGATTAGATGAAAAGTGGAAAGCTGTGGAAAATTGAGAGGACAGAAGGATATGAGCTAAGTGTAGTAAATTGCAGGAACTTAGCATGGCCTTTTCATTCAGATTCTCAGTATCCCTCCATTTTAAGAGATAAGGATGCTCCTTTCTTCTGGGTATAAGGAGGGCACCTCTCACAGGAGGGTCTCATGACCTGCTTCATGGGAGGTCAGAGAGTGCTTCCAACATCTGCCATTTCTCCATCTTCAGCTTAAAATATCCAGTAAGCCAAGGTGCCATAGTTTGGAGGAGCATGTCCTGAGCCCCATCAGTTATAGAATGTCTTTTTTTTTTTTAAGATTTTGTTTACTTGTCAGAGAGAGAGAGCACAAGCAGGGAGAGCAGCACACAGTGGAAGAAGCAGGCTTCCCACCAGGCAGGGAGCCCGATGTGGGACTCAATCCCAGGACCCTGGGATCACAACCTGAGCCGAAGGCAGACACTTAACCAACTGAGCCACCCAGGCTTCCCCATAGAATGTCTTTTTGTTGATTTCTCTAACTCAGGATCCAAACAAGATTCATACAGTACATTATGTTGATGTCCCTTAAGTCTCAATAAAAATACTTAGTAGTTCCCCTTCTTTGCCATTTGTTGGGAAAACTAGGTCATTTGCCCTAAAATTTCTCATTCTAGAGTCACCTAGTTGTATCCCTATGGTGTCCTTAAATATATCCCACTATTGCCCACTTTTCCTATAAACTGGTAGAGGTAGAGGCTCATTTGGACTCCAACTCTAATATTTTTGGCAAGTATACATCATGGGAGGTAAGAGATACTTGGTTTTGCATCACATCAGGAATGACCCGATTTATTAATCAGGTGCCCAATAGCCTTTCACCTAAATTATGATCTACCTAGTTTTGTTCTATTACTTCATTAGGGATTGCAATCCTGGTGATTTCCTATTTTATCATCCCTTCTGCCTGAATTAGCTTTGCTCTATAAAGAACTTTCCGTCTTTGAGACTTACCTGTAAAATGAGGCAAGGAGATCTTCCTAAATGAACACAAAATTAGAACCTCCGGAGCCTGGCTCCTTTTGTAGGAATCAAGGTTGCAATGCAGAGAGACTATAATGTGCAAATAATGAAGACAGACCTCATTTTGAATCCCAGTTCAAATCACAACCTCTGAGAGCTCTCATTTCCTCACCTATAAAATGAGGATAATGAAAGTAGTATCTGCCTTCTGAGGTTGTAAGATTGAGATACTGTGATTGAGAGCTGGGCACGAAGTAAACACTCAGTGTGTGTTAATATATGATCTCGGGGCTCTGGCCTTTTGGGCTCTTCTCAAGTCTGGGAAAAAGGCTGTTCTTTGCTCCCTCACCCATTCTTCCATCCTTAGAGTTCTAGCCAATTAGTGGACTCTTCCCCCATCCCAACTGTTCATGGGGTTGGTGCCCATACTCTATGCCAAATGGGCTGCTCACAGGCCTAACATGATCAGCAGATACTGTGGGCACTACACAATGTTTTTAGTTTTGAATTAGTTGTTAACATTTAGAGAGGATTTCCCATTAATGGATTTCCCATTTCTAGCAATGCTGGGCCTGCAGGTCCCCATGGCAACCATCAGCTGGAGTTGGATGGCAGCTGTCTCCCTTTACTGGGCAGCTTGACTTGTTTACATATGGCTTGGCTCTAGCTGGAATGAGAGCACCAGCTGATGTTTCAATTTGGGTCTCGCCTAAAACAAGCCCGAAACAAGACCTTGGGTGAAGAGTTTATTTGCGAGATGATCGCAGGAAGCAGGAATAAGGCTGCAAGAAGAGTGAGACAGAGAAGGAGGAAAAGCCACTAAATGTGTGTGTTACCAAGGTCACTGCTACAGGCAATAAGGACTCAGTCGCCAGGGGGCAAGAGGTGGGGGGCGATGATCTCAAAAGCATATAAATGTCTCAGAAGTATCTGCTTGAGCTGGGGTTGCCTACAGGGGAGTTAGTTCCCCTGAATTAACAAGCAGCCTTTGTAGCCAAGTCGGCCTTACATGTCAGAGGAGAAAATAAAAAGCCACATGGCAGCTCCTGAGGTGGGCTTCTGCCAGCACAAGGTGAGTCTGACCTTGTAGAAACTGTCCACTACCAGCAAGGTAGGTGAGGGTCTGTGACAGAGCATCAGAGGTTCCACTATGGGCTCTGAGCAAGCCAGTAGGGCCTATAGGAGGATGGTGTAGCAGGGGCAATGACCTTGAAGACAAAGTTCAGTTCTCCCTCAGAAGGAAGGAGTTTTGTGACCTGCGTGTTTCCCTCCCTTTGTCTCTTGGAAGGTATATCAGTCCACGTGTAGAGGACTGAAGCAGGGCCAATCAGAGGCCTCTGGAAATGGCCGAGGTAATCGAAGCCACAGTTTACCCTACTCTCCAGAGGGCCCTTTTCTGGGGAGATACACTGGAGAAGCTGGGGCAGGCCAGTTAGCTGTCCTCATATGTGCCGCAGCTTACCTCTACCTGTCTGCTTCAGAGACAACCTGAAGCGTAAGTATCTGCCATCCCTCTTAAGGCACCCAGAAATCAATATAGTTATGAAAGGTGATTTAAAAAGATAAAGACCAAACCTGACCAGAATGTATTATCCACTCCCTCTTCTCAGAGGACCTCCTACTTCAAGATTAAGCCTCTACTCAGCCTGTCTGCGCTTTTCCAACTCTCAGGTCAGGCTGATCTCCCACCAGCCTACACGGGGCCTGAGCCTTTCTCTGGCATTTCCAAGGCTGCTTCCCAGGATTTGCAGCTGTGGTGACTTACTTCTGTCATTATCACATTCTCCTGAGATGAGGATATGGCAGCTAAAACAGAGAGCAGATAATTTGAGGTCAGGTTTATTCCACAAGATGTGAAGCTGTTTTTCCACTTCCTCATGAGGCTTTTTGACAGCAAGTCTGACTTTTGGGGACCCCATGTAACAATATGGCTAGGGAGGAAAGGATGTTCAGGGCTATTTCATATGCTCTTGAACCTCTGTAATAAATTTCCATTACTAAAGGTGATCCTGAGTATATTTCTTAAGCTGGGTACATAGTATCTTCATTTTGTTGTTACTCTACCTCACACGTAATATGGTTTTGATTCCATACTAATAAAAGGAATTTGGGGAGCTTGGGGGCTCAGTTGGTTAAGCAACTTCGTCTGGCTCAGGTTATGATCCAGGAGTCACAGGATCGAGTTCTGCATCGGGCTCCCTGCTCAGCAGGGAGTCTGCTTCTCCATTTGACCCTCCTCCCTATCATGCTCTCTCTCTCTCTCAAATAAATAAAGTCTTTTAAAAAATTATAAGCAATTTTAGGAAGTTAATTAATCTGTTACCTCTTTTCCCAATGAAAATCCTACAGATTCCTCTGGAATCTCGATGTTCTGTTCCTTCACCGGGATCTTTCTTTCCTTCCTTAATCTTTTTAGTAAGAGTCTAGGGTCCAAAGGGAGGTTGTTTTCATTTCTGTTTATGATAAACTCATTCATTCAAAAAATACTTACTGATCCACTAGTATGTGCTGAAGGTACTACAGTGAGGAAGTCAGACAATGCCACTGCTCTCATGGAAACTTTATTCTTATATAAAGAAGACAACACAGTATAAATAACCTGTATTTATGGGGGAGACAAGCAATAAAATAGAAACAATCAAGGAAAGCTTCACATGCTAATAAGCGCTGTACAGAGAATTACAACAGGGATCATGTGCTGGGGAGTGTCTGGGTAGCTACTTTCAAATTACGAAATCAAGAATGACCTGAGGAGGTAAAATGGCAGCTGAGAGTTGAATAACAAGGAACCTGACATGTGACGGTCAAGGGAACTAGCAGTGCAGGCAGAAACAAGAACTATGCAAAGACTTTTCATTCCAAAGCGTTCTCTCTCTCTCTCTCTCCCATCCATTTATAGAGCAGTATTTGCCTATGTGATCATCAACTCAATTATAACATGAGTTCTCATTTGACCAGGCCTTGTGCTGGGCTCTACAGTGAGGAAAATAGAGAAGGGCATTGGGACTTGCTTTTAGGGAGCTCCTAATAAACCTGGCAAGTCAAAAGAGACCCACACCCAGCCACAGACCAGGGTACTATGCAGGACCCAAGATGCTGAGAAACAGTCCAGATATTGAAGCTGCAGGGATTCCAAGTGTAAGTTATCAAGTGCTTTTTTTTTTAATGTGAAAGTTGCATTTTTTAAAAAAGATTTCATTTATTTATTTGACAGACAGAGATCACAAGTAGGCAGAGAGGCAGGCAGGGTGGGGGGCGGGGGAGCAGCTGAGCAGAGCGCCTGATGAGGTCTCAATCCCAGGATCCTGGGATCATGACCTGAGCTGAAGGCAGAGGCTTTAACCCACTGAGCCACCCAGGCGCCGCTCTCAAGTGCTTC